TATATATATATATATATATATATATATATATATATATATATATATATGTACACACACACATATAGTGAGTTCCTCACCTCATCCTAATCTAAGGTTTTGTGTATAAAGACCATAAAATAGTAAAGTTTTATAACACACATAAGCACCCTATAAATATTAACATTACTACTTTTCATTGGAAATTGTTGCAAAGTCCACGTTGGTAGGCTGCTGGCCCTTTAATTGCCACGCTGTATACCGTGAGTCTCTACGCCCTTCCGCCCCGATGTATCCCATCGTGCCCCGCGTCTTCCGGGCGCAGCCTCTCGTAGCCTCGCCCCTTCGGCGCGCGACCCATCATGGCGCAGGGTCCGCGCAAGTTCCAGCCGCGGAAGCCAAGTAAAAGCAAGTCCGCGGCAACAGCCTCAGAGCGGAACCGCGGGCCAAGGAAAGGCGGTGAGCAGCGGGCCGGGGAGTAAGCGGGGTAGAGACGGCCCGGGCCGCCCCAGTCTCATGCGAGTGCGTCTCTCTAGGTCGGTTGATCGTCCCCAAGAAGGCACGCATCGTGCAGCAGCAGCAGATCAAGAAGGTGAGCGGGTCCCAGGGCTGGGGGAGCTGTGGAGGACAGCCAGGCGCTCCAGCCCGCCGAGCCTGTTTCCTCCTTTGTGCGGCTAATATGGGAACCTTGAGCACAGTGTTGGGAGAGCGTTCGAAGCCCTTGGGGTTGAAAATCTAGCTTCACCAGAAGGCAGCGCCGAAGCAAATCTTAGCTCCGCGAGTGAGCAGGATTTCTTCACCCCCCAGCCTTTTTCCCAGTAATCCCCAGCGATGGCGCCCTTTCTTAGTTTGTGAGAATGCGAAGCGACCGGGCGCCTGCAGACGCTGCGGGCGGCACCAGGCCCAGTCGGGGTGCGCGGTCTCGTTACCGGTGTCGGATTTTTATAGCCAGGTGGATAGGGCTGAGCCTATAAAGAAATTGGAAAGAGATTTAAATCTGATCTTGGACTGTTCTCCACACTCACTAGGGCTGTGATCCTGAGCAAATCATTTAACTTCTCAAGATCATTGCTTTTCTCAAAACTAGTTACCTAGAGACCTGTTCAGGTCCACGGAGTAGGGTCAGGAGGCGTCTGTCTCGTGGAATGCCAAGACGCCCAAAACGAGCTCCTGATCTCACATCCCCATTCTCCCTCCCTGCCTGTGACCCTGCAGGTCTCATTTCAGGACGATTCTGTCCTTCCAGATGCTAGGGATCACCACTGAATCCCTGTTTTCTTTCCCATTCCACCTGTCCTGTCTCCTGCCTGAACCTATGTAGTCACCTCCTCCTGGCCTACACTGCTCTCTGCCACAGCAGCCAGACGATGCCATGAACACTACATATCACAACCTGGCCTTCCTCTGCCCAGCACTCTCCGTGTCTTCTGCCATACAAAAGCCAGAAAAGCCCTGCATAATTTGCCCTGCACCACCCTGCACACTCCCTTTCACCTTTCCCTTGTCCCCTCTCCCTCCAGCCTCTTCATCTTTCCTTGTCCAACCTCGGGGTGGTGGCAGCCCTCCCCTCACTTAATCTCCCTGATGTCTCTTCATCATGGCAACACTTATTCTATTATGGAACAGTTGGACATCTGTGTCACTCATGTGCCTGTCTTCCACTCCTAGGCATTGAGTCTTGGCTCCAAGTAGGCAGGGATTTTTCTGCCTACTTTTGCTGTAGTGTTCACAGTGCCCAGACACAACAGTTAACTACCCGGTGGTGGCAGTTGTAGTTATTAGAACTCATAGGCAGCACAGGAGCAGTGTGAAGAAGGTAATTCAGCCACCAGCTACCAGATTGACTCAGACCCACACTGACACACTGCCCCCCCTTCCCTGAAGAATAAAGATGACACAGGACAAGAGGGCTCTGCCCACCTAAAGGCAGAGACTCATCGAGCTCCCGTCTTTCATCACCCATGTGGCTTGGGAATCCTCATTAGGTCCCTCCCCATTCACATGGGCATGAGAAAAGAGAGGCGGGAAAGGTTTGTGGTGTGTTCAGTGTGCAGGGCGGGGCTTCAATCCCAGTCCTCCGGGCCCTCGTGAGGGCTGTGCAAGGGGACAGTTGCAGATCCTGTGCCCTGTGAGCTGGCAAGAGGGCAGCTAGCTAGGGCCTCCCGCTACTGCATCTCAGTCTGATACCCTGGGGTTGCCCCTATAGGATCTAGAGATCGCGATCCGGAAGAAGATTGAGCACGACATGGTGATGAAAGCCAGCTCCAGCCTGCCCAAGAAGCTGGCACTGCTGAAGGCCCCAGTCAAGAAGAAGGGGGCCGCTGCCTCCTCTAAGACTCCTTCCTGAAGATGTGAGCTCACAGGCTGTACCTCAGGCAAGAGGACCCATCCGCCACCAGCGGTGGCCCCTAGAACTTGAGCAGGGCCCCTGGAGCCTGGGAGAGCTGCAGGCTAGGCTGCTCAGGGTTCAAGGAGGAGGGAGTGTCAGCATCCTCTGTCCCCTCCCCAGTCCTGTCTCCACTGGCTTCACCCAGACGATAAATATGACTTTGTCATCCCCGTGTCATCATGTGGTTCTGTGAGCAGGCCCGTGGGGGCCAGGTGAGCCCATTTGTGTCTATGAGAGTCCTGTCCCACGATGCTTTCCACCACCACCACCACCACCACCACTCCCAGCACACTCTGCCTGGCCAGTCCTCAAGCTGAGGAAGCATCAGGGAGGAGCCACACATCTGTAAGTGAGGCACTGCACTGCCTTGAGGGTCTCGGTGCCATTATCCTGAATGCATCAGCTGGCAGGATGCCTGGGGTTCAGAGCCAGGGCTGGAACCTGCTGCTGCCAGATTCTTGGTCCTGCTATCAGCTGGCCTCCTGCTGCTGCATTGTCCCAGACCATGACTCTTGTCACTGTCCCTCTTGGCGACACCCCTCCCCCAAGTTGATGCTTGGTCTGTTGGATGGGACGGGACCTGTGACATTTTAGGGAGCTGTACCCTGTTGTCCTTCCATTCCACCTATCTCTTATCTTTGGGATTTGGACTCTCGGTACAGTTGGCTGCACCCCTTGAGGCAAGTGATCAGGGTAGCCTCACCTTCCCTGGTCACTCACCCGCTCGGGAAGCAGAGGTGTTTGGTCTCCACCCACTGCCCCCAAATCCCACCTTTTTTGTCTGTTTTAGCAGTACTGGGGAATGAACCCAGGGAGTACTTGAATTACAACCCTCTTGCCTCAGCTTTCCAGAGTGCTAATATCGCAGGAGTGTCCACGCCAGCAGGCTTCTGCCAACTTTGTGATTTTTTAGCATGGACAACACTTTGGCCACTCCTCAGTAAGCTTATCATAGATTACCCTGTGCTCAGCTGGGGTGCTGCTCAGTAGTAAGTGCCTGCCTAATGTGAGTAGGCCCCGGGTTCCATCTCCAGCACGCAGAAACAAAAATCACTTTATGTGAGGATCTGGACTCGGCATCCCTCCTGTAAGGCTTATGTCAAAGGGTTTGTCCTATGTGGCGCTTGTGGAGGAACTGGAGCCTAGCAGGAGGCCATGTGCCCTCAGGACAGCACCCAAGGGACACTGTCTCTGCTTGCTGCCTGGTGAGGGGAGCTCTGCGTGGCAGGCATTTCCCCAGTGCCTTAGTTGCAACATGGGCAGCATGAGCTGAGCAAACCTTCCCTCTCTAAGTGCCTGTCTCATCTCAGTATGGTAAAGTGGATCGGCCTACCCTGCAACCCAGCAGTTCCATGCCAAGTTCAGATGCAGAAGGATGGGAATGTAGTGCTCCAGTGTGTTTTGTAGTGCTGGGGACGGAGCTACTCCCCCAGCACATTTTATTTTATATTTTATTTTGTTCTAGTTTGAGATAGGGTCTCACTAAGTTACCCAAGCATGTCTCAAAACGTGTGATCCTCCTGCTTCAGCCTCCCCAATAACTGGGCTTACAGATATCCCACTGCACGTGGTTTGTGCCAATGTATAGCAGGATTATTCACAACCACTGAAGGGGGACATAACCTGCATATCCATCCATAGGACAGATGAACAAAATATGGTCCATCCATACAATGGAATGTTATTTGGCCATAAACTAACAGACAAACCTTGAGAACATGTGCTGAGTTCAAGCAGCCAGACACAAACACTGCATAGTATGTGACTATTCACGTAAAATGTCCAGAGCAGACAGGAGCTGGGAGGGAAGTGGCGGCGCTGCTGATGGGATCACCTTGGGTTGATGAAAGTGTGAAACTAGACAGGTGGTGCATAGCCTCGTGTGGACTGACCCTGAATTGTGCACTGGGATGAAGCTAAAATTGTGTGAATTTTGCTAACAAAAAACAGGAAGAGAAATTTCACCCCACTGTCCTGACAACATCCTGAGAAATGGGGCGCTGGTGGAGAGACTAGTGTGGGGCTCTGCATCCCTCAGGAGTTTCTGGGGGACACAGGAGCCCCAGATCCCAGACTGGGAGGTGGCAGCATCTTCCCACACCCCTGAGCACCCCTCAGGGAACCAGGGCCCTCTGCCCTGTCCCTCCTCAGGCTGGGGTGTCACCTGCCCTGGGAGACAATTTGCCCATATCGAATCCATCCTGTGCCAGCCTCTGGCCTAGGGAGGGCTAAGAACTGGCCTAGTGAGAGAAAACAAGGATGCCACCAAGTCTGTGTTCCCGGCAGGCCACCTCCTCCCTGCTTAGGCCTCCTGGCTTTTGCATCTGCGGTGCCCACCCCAGGATTACCCTTCCTGGATGTCTTCTTCCAAGAGGAGGTCATGGAGCAGCCTTCCCTGCGCCCTGCCCGTGTGATCTGGGTTTTACTGCAGTGCTGGGCAGGCGCCTGGGAGGGAGGGGCTCACTTTGTTGCCCAGGCTGCCTTGAAACTCTTGAGCTTGAGTAATCCTCCTGCCTCAGCCTCCAAAGTAGCTGGGACACAGGCTCAAGCTCCGCACTTGGCTGATTGATCTTCAGATCTGAAGTCACCCTGCCCTGCTTTCCTCTTTTCTGCTTTGTTTCCCAAGGACCAGTGCACAGCTGGCACTGGATGAGCAGGTGCTGAAGGAGGGAAGGAGGGAGGGAGGGAAGAAAGGAAGGATTTATCCTCACTGCAAGGAAAGGGATCAGATCAGAGCAGTCAGTGATCTTTCAGCACAATATCTATGAACCAACTAGAGCTGTTTTACAGCCCTGCCTGTTGTAAACCATTGACTACAATTCACAGTCCTTCCACAGTCCTTCCTACAATAGTGACAAGTGCTCCCGGCTGAAAGATTATCAGCAGCCCTCCACCCCCTGGGGGAGCTAATTGGTGTCCTTTGGCGGTTACCTGGAATATCTTTTATCTGTAAAAGTGTCTGTTCTTCAGACCCCGGGATCAAACCTAGGGACTCTACCACTTAGCTACACCCCAGCCAGCCCTTTCTTTGTTGTTCTTTGTTTTCCACAGGGTCTCCCTGCTAAATTACAAAATTGTCCAGGTTGATCTCCAACTTGTGATCCTTCTGCCTCAGCCTCTCAGAGTGGCAGGATGACAGGTGTGCGCCACCACGCCCGGCTTTCAGACCCTTTGAACCCCTTGCAACATCTGCCTGGTTCCTATGTAAGTTAAATAAACATTTTAAGACATGCTCGTCTTCAGATGTTTATGAGAGTCCCTCTTTTTTGAAAAATCTTTTTAACCTGTCTGTCTGGAATCCAGAAGGCGAGAGAGTTGCATCACACTGGACTCTGGTGTCATCTGGCATCGCCTCAGCCCCCAGGAGGCGCCTCAGAGGTGGCCAGGCCTCTCACAGGCTGCCAGTGCCCAGGAGGAATCCCAGAAATTGGCTCCTTTTGTAGCTCTGTCACTAGCGGGCCCCAGGCATGGGGTCTGGAATGTCAACCCACAGGTCCCAACCCCGGAGCTCCCCAAACAGCCTTATTTTTCCCATGACTTCCCTAGGCGACTCCCCCCACCCACACGCACCCCCATTAGCACTGCAGTCAAGACCCCACCCCAAACCCCACAAGGCCTGTTCTACACTCCTGCCTGGCCCTCCACAAGCCTCTCCACCTCTCTGAGCCCCTCCCTGTTCAGTGGGGACTGTGACACCTCCGTTTCTTACCCCCTAAGCAGAAGGGTATGGGACTCACGGTGTGACCATGAGGACCCTTGGGTGCTGGGCGTGGGGGCAGGCGTCCAGTCCAGCACCTGCCGTTCTTCTGCCATTCCCTGCCCCTCTCCCTCGGGGCCAGTCCTCTTCTGACCTAAGCCTTTCCCTTCTACCTCCACCTCTCCCCACCACCCCTGTTGAGAATGCCCACTCCTCCTGGCAAGGCCCTGACACTTTGCCCATGAACTTGTGTTTCAAAAGAAAGAAAAGAAACCTAAGAAGCTAAGTCAAGCCAGCCAGCAAGAGTGGCTGCACCAACCAGAAAGCCAGGAAACTAACCAGGCTGGCTCCCCGGGGTCAGCTTGGTTGGGAGCTTCTGGGGACTGACAGAGGGAGAGGGGGCTGGGACATCCCCAGAGCTGGGGGTCTGGTGGCCTTGGGCAGCTAAGCCTCCTGGGCAGCCCTGCTTTCCCCACAGGTCGAGCAAGGACACGTGGGGCTGGGGTCAGGAGCTACACATGCCTAGACGGTGAGCTCACACATTGGCGGATTGGTGGCAGGATAAATGTGGCTTCCACTTCCCCAAAGAAGCCAGGGCTTGCTGGCTTCAGCAAGAAGGGAGGATTTGAGTGTCTGGATGCCCCTTCTCCCTCACCAACCTCTCCTTTCCTAAAAGTATTGCTATGCTACAAAGGTGGGAACTTGAAATAGGCAGAGAGACTCCATCCTTCGGACATTTCCAGGGCCCTTTCTGACCGGCCACATTCTCCCAGAACTGCTTGCTATTTGGCTGTGGGCAGCTTTCAGCCCCTCTCCAGGCTTCATTTCCCTTACCTGGAAAATCAGATGATCCGAACAGAATTCTGAGCCAGGCATGGTGGTGGATGCCTGTCATCCCAGCACTTGGAAGGCTGAGGCAGGAGAATCGCCAGGAGTTAGAGGCCAGCCTGGACTACATACCTAGCAAGACCCTTTGTCTCAAAAAACAAACCAAAGCCTTAGGGCCGAGGATTTGGCTCAGCAGCACCGTGCCTGCCTCCCATGTGCAAGGTCCTGAGTAAACCAAAATATATTCCAGTAAACGAGGAGTCCAGAGTAGCCCCAGCTGGCTTCCACCAGTTTGGCTCTTCCGGCCGGGAGGCCTCAAGCAAGCCCATTTCCTCTTCTGAAAAATGGAGGTGACTCTCCACTTAGCAGCACTGTGAAAGGCCTAACCTTCATGCCTATCCTGGGTGCTAGCTCAGCCTGCTTCAGCGGCCTGAACCTTTCTACAATCATTACTGATTCCAAGGCTGACACTGGGGCAGGCCCTGTGCCAGGGAAGCCCAAAAGAAATATACCAGGAGCCACACACGTCGTTGGAAATGTCCCTGTGTCACACACAGCAGCAATTTCAATCATACATTTTATTGAACCCACATATCATTTTGACCTGTAATAAATATTTTTTAAAAAAATTTTTTTAAGATAGGCTCCTGAATTTGCTATATAACCCTGGCTGGCCCCAAACTCACAGCAGTCCTCCTGCCTCAGCCTCCTGAGTGCTGGGATGGCAAGCAGAGCTGACAGCCATAAAAAAAGAAAAAAAAAATTTTTTTTTTTTTGAAGCAGGGTCCCCATGTGTACCCCAGGCTGGCCTGGAACTTGCTGTGATCCTCCTGCCTCAGCCACCTGAATGCTGGCCCTGCTGAAAATTTTTAATGGGACATTTTGTGGCCATTTTTTTCTGTAAGCATCTGAAATCCAGCCCCTAGTTTACACCTACCGCACAGCCTACTCAAGACCCACAAGTGGCCGTGGAAATCTGGAGGGTGCTAGGCTGAGGACTGCCCAGGAAGTGCACCTTCAAGACCCGGAGGAAAAACCTGGAGGGCCAGGGGTTTAGCTCAGTGGTTCCACCGCCTGCGCCTGCCTCGAAAGCACAAGGTCCCTACAATCTCCCATACCAAAAGTAAAAACAAACAAAAAAACCCCTGGAGGTCCCAGATGGAGAAGACAGCCAGGCTTCTCAGGGGCCAGCTTGGCTGTGTCCTGCTCTGCATATCATTTGAGCTAAATGGGGGCAAAGCCTAAGTCGGCGCATTCCACAGTTTACAGACTGGGCGCTTGCTGCATGCGGGTAACCAGTGGACCCTGAGAGGAGCCAGACTAGCAGCATGGGAACAAACAGATAAACCTTGACAGAGAAGGGTGAGGAAGGGAAACTAGGCTGCTCTGAGATAATGGGGTAGGGGAGGGGGTGGTGAGAAAGAGCATGGGCAGCTTCTGGGCCAGAGATGGTGGCCAGGACAAGCCAAGTAAGAAAAATGATCAGAGATGGTGGAATTTGAAACTATTGACTTTATTAGATTGAGAGTCGAAAACTAGAAATTTCGTCAAGCGTGGGAGCACACACCTGTCATCCGGGAAGCTGAGGCAGGAGGATCACCTGAGTTCCAGGCCAGCCTGAACTACTTAGCGAGACCCTGCCTAAATAAATAAATATTTAAAATGTCATGATCCAGGGCCGGGGATCTAGCTCAGTGGCAGCGTGCCTGCCTCACAAGCACAAGGTCATGTGTTCAATGCCCGGTACCAAAAAAAATGTCATGATCCAACCGACTTAGGGCATAGAAAGGATGGGGTCCTAGTCAGACCCAGTGCTGATTTCTGTGTCTGGGGCGACGTCTGCAGCCCTCTGCGCCCCACCAGAAGTCTGCACCGCCGGTCCCCGTCCCCACCCTCAAACTCAACCCCATGCCCAAAGACGCTAAGCGCGCTTCTCGGATGGCACCGCCGCAGGTGAAGGCTGAAGTGCTGCCCCGCTCCTGGTGGCGCAGCCAATTGCCCGCCTGGTGCCGGAAGCGACCCTCGGTAAACAAAGCCGTGTGTGGGCGCAGCCCCAGCGGCCCAGGGTGTGCTGTCCAGCCCCGGGGAGGCGGGGGAGGAATGTTGTGAATGAACTCAGGACCCGCCCCGAAACTCCGCATAAGGCCTGAGCCGTAGGGGTCCTCCCGCTCCCATTGGCCTCCGGCGCTCCGTGATTGACAGTGCCGCCCGCTACGCTCCGTGATTGCACAGACCCAAAAGACTGGCATCGTAGTTCTCTAATGAACACTGGCATCTGGGAGACGGGTCTGAAGCCGCAGCCAATGGAAGGAGAGGATCGCGGAGGCCAAGGGAGGGTCCAATAGGAACGGGCGCCGGGGGCGGAACGACGGCGGAGGATAAAGCGGCTGCAGAGGCACCTTTATTGTTGTGAAAACTCTTAAAGGGGCCGCTCCCCGGGCCGGCCTGGTGTGGGGCGGGGGTGGCTAGGGTGGAGGTCCCAGACGGCCGAGCGCTAAAGAAGACGGCAAGGCGGTGCGGAGCCCTAGGAGCGCGGCGGGTATCGGCCGACCCCGCAGCTCCCCGCCCCCACCGCCCCGGCCCGGCCATGGAGCCCCTCACAGCCAAGCGGAGCCGGGGCGACCCAGGGGGACCCGAGCCGCGCGATCCCCGGGCCGAGCGGGGCCGCCCCGAGACGTTGCTGGACCTCAGCGCTAAGCGGGTGGCTGAGAGCTGGGCCTTCGAGCAGGTGACGGACGGGCCGGGCGGGGACCCCCCTGCCGGCCCCGGTGCGATCTGGGCTCAGACCCGCCCCCTGGGCTCCAGAGATGCCATTGCCCTCGTGTCCCCCTCAGTCTGCGACCCCAAGCCGGCCCTGGCGCCCCAGCCCCAGGGCTCTCGCCACTCAGCCTCATCCCCACAAGGGCACCCGTTCTATCCTCATCGACACCCCAACTCCTTGCCCGGAATACCCATCTCCCCGTGTCTGAGCCCCGAGATACCCACAGTGCCCTGTTTCCGTCCCCCTCCCCCCAGACCCCTGTCCTACTCTCCAGGCAAAGAACTCCCCATCTCTCCACATGTCTCCGCTCGGGACAATCCCTCTGGGCCTCTACCCTCCTGTCCTACCCTCCAGCCCCAGCATCCACCTGTCCCTTAAGGACCATTCCTGTCCCCCGACAACCTCTCTCCTTGTCCTAGTCCTTCCTAGAGGGAGCTGGGCATTCGGGTGGTATCTGACAGGTGGAAACCTAACCAGCCTCTCAGGCCGATTCCGGGGACTCTGCCTTGGTGCCCCGGAGCTGGGGTCCTTCAAGCCCCCTTGGCACCAGTCTCAGAACTGCCAGACTGCCCGGGCCAGCACAGCTTGCGGGATGCCTGACTTCAGGAGGTCTTAGGGGGCTCCCGAGTTAGGACTGATGGGTTTGTGCCATGGTGGATGGAACCATCTCTGATTCATGGACTGGAAAATCCCTTCTTAGTCATTTGCCAACTGTCACTGGGCCAGTCATTGGCTGCTCCACTTCCCCCAGAAACCTAGGCAGGAGGGGGCTCAGGAAGGCCTCCGCCCTTCCTTGTGTGTGTGACCCACAGGACCTGGCCTGGCGGTGCTGAAAGCTCCTGGGCTCTTCTGTAACCCTTTGGGAGTTGTTGTCCTCCTGGTTTTGAGGAAACTGGGACACAGAGAGGTTGAGAAATTCGCCCAAAGTCACCAGCCAGTGAACAGCAAACTCAGATTGGAACAAAAGTTAAATGGGGTTGTTTCAGTGCCCGGAGCCCAGGGAGGGGCTCAGGGAATATGCTGAGGAGAGATCTTGTCCTGGGAATGAGAGTTCTCCAGCCCCAGGGTTCTGAACAGACAAATTTATCACAGCTCTGAGCCTTTCCTCCTAAGCTGTAAATCAGAGTATCAAATTGTTAGGTTGGTGTGAGAAATACGGGAAATCACTTTTTTGTTGTTCTTTTGAGACAGGGTCTTACTATGTAGTTCAAGCTGGCTTTGAACTCACAGCAATCCTCTTGCCTCAGCCTCCTTAGGGCTGGGATTACAGGTGTGCACCACCACACCAGCTTTCCTTCTTTCTTTTTTCTGATGCTGGGGATTAAACCCAGGGCCTCTGAATCTTGTCACTTTTGTCTAACTTCTTCCCATCCCCTCAAGACCTGAGAAGTGGGCACATCCCACCAGAAGTCTGCTAAATCCCCTGGCATCCAGAAAGAAATCAGTAGTAAGATCTAGGGTGCTAACTGTTGGCCATGCATTACTGTAAGTGCTGTACACACATTAATGCTTTTTATTTTTTGTTTGAGCTAGGGTCTCAATAAGTTGCCCCAGGCTGACCCTGAACTTCTGATCCTCCTGCTTCAGCCTCCCAAGTAGCTGGGATTACAGCCTCACAACACAGTGCTAGGCTCATTGATGCATATTGAATCCCTGGGAGACGGTTGATGTTCACATCCCCACCTTACACTAGGGCAAACTGAGGTTCAGAAAGGCCGAGTGACTTGCCCAGGGTCACACTGTTTATAAACAGCACAACCAGAACCCTAGCCTGGGTGTGACCCACTGACCCTCTGCAGGTCGAGGAGCGGTTCTCCCGGGTGCCGGAGCCTGTGCAGAAGCGGATCGTGTTCTGGTCATTTCCACGAAGTGAGAGGGAGATATGCATGTACTCGTCACTAGGGTACCAGTCCTCAGAGGGTGAGCAGGATGCCCGGGTGCCCTTCACCCGTGGGCTGCACCTGCTGCAGAGTGGCTCCGTGGACCGCGTCCTCCAAGTGGGTGAGTGGGTGTCTCTGATGCAGGGAGACTGAATTGGGCAGGAGCTTCCAGACCTCAGGCTCAGAGGCCCTGGAAAGTGTGTACAAGATACTGGTGTGGTTCTCTTGCACTGAGCTACATCCCCAGCCCTTTTGATTTTTTAAATTTTGAAACAGGGTCTCCCTAAGTCCCTAAGCTTCCCCAGACTGGGTTCCAACTTTCTTATTTTGTTTTGTTTTTTGTCAGGGTCTCACTATGAACTCCAGGCTGGCCTAGAACTCACAATGTAGCATAGGCTGGCCTCGAACTCTTGGTGATCCTTCTGCTGCAGCCTTCCAGCTGGGATGACAGGTGTGTGCCACCATGCCCAGCTTGAAGCAGATATTGCTGTACCGAAATTCAGGTCTTGTCCTTGGCCTCAGGCAGCAGGCTTAGATGGGGATATGGAGGGGAAGGGAAGGCCCCCCACTGAGATGGGAGGGTTCAGGCAAGGGACTGATCAGGTTCAGTGAGACTGATCCTGGATTCCAGGCAGAGGCCATGGAGGGTCTTGGAGATGGAGCTTGAGACATGGCACTGAGGATCCCAGACCTCAGACTCCCGAGTCCTGCTGGGCTTGGGTGCAGGATAAGAGCTGAGGCGAACAGTAGACACCAACACTGAACTAGGAGTAAGGGAAGAAGCAGGGAGGCAGGGACCAGGGGCGGGGTGACTCTACACCCAGGCAGTAGGGTGTGGGTGGGAGCTGGACACATAGTATAGAGGCATAGGTGACAGCGAGTCTCAGACACCAGGCGGAGACAAGGAGAGGTTGGGATCCGAATTTTAGTATGACACGCAGCGAGAGTGGTGACTTCAGTTCACAAAGATTTGTTACAAGTTTTATAAAGTACTAGGAGAGCCAGATGAGTTGGCACGTGCATATTTTCCCAGCATTCTGGGAGGCTGAGACAGGAGGATCACAGGTTCGAGCCCAGCCTGGGCAATTTAGTAACTTAGCAAAACCATGGCTCTGGGCCAGGGCCCAACCAGGGTTACCTCTATGGACCCTGGTGAACTCACCCCGTGCCTGGCCATAACCCAGCCAGCTGCAGGCCCATGGCCAACCTGGTATGAGGAAGCCATCTCTCCACATGATGCAGGTTTGGCCCGAGCTGCCCAACCAGTCAGATGAGCCCGGCAGACACCTGCCTGCCCAGGGGCCAGGGAGGGACAGGGTGCAGGGTGATCTGCCTCAGGTCTGCCTGTCAGCCCACAAGGTGAAATGTCACATTTCCCAGGAAGTGCAGGGCTCCTGTCACCCTAGCTGTATCCATGGTAACCCAAGAGCTGAGAGAACCTGTCTCCAACATCACAGAGCAATGATACTTTGATCATCAGAGAAAAAACAAGGGTTTGTTCAGGACCTGAGCTTATACCAGAGTTCTAAGCATTTGTCATACATTAACTCATTCTTTTTTCTGGTAGTGTGGGATTGAACCTAAGTCCTTCGCCCTTAGCCACATCATCAGCCCTTTTTTTAACTTTATTTTGAAACAGGGTCTTGCTAAATTGCCCAAACTTATGACCCTCCTTCCTCAACTTCCCACAATGCCGGGAAGACAGGCATGCATCACCATGCCTTGTTGATCATTTAATTTTTATTACAACTACATGAGAAGGATGTTGTCATGATTTGTTGGACAGATGGGGAAACTGAGGCACTGACAGGTTTAGTGACCTGTGCTAGGTTATTTGGCTGTGCTCTACATCTGGGTCTTGCTGGGCATGGTGAGTAAATGCTACCTGTTTCTGGTTTTAGGGTTCCACCTGAGCGGGAATGTGCGGGAGCCAGGCAGCCCCAGGGAGCCCGAGCACTTCTACCATGTGTCCATCAGCTTTGACCGCTGCAAGATCACATCTGTGAGCTGCAGCTGTGACAACCGAGACCTCTTCTACTGTGCACACGTGGTGGCCCTGTCACTGTACCGCATCCGCCATGCATACCAGGTGGAGCTGAGGCTGCCCATCTCCGAGACTCTGTCCCAAATGAACCGAGACCAGCTGCAGAAGTTCGTGCAGTACCTCATCAGCGCCCACCACACCGAGGTGTTGCCCACTGCCCAGCGCCTGGCCGATGAGGTCTTGCTGCTGGGCTCCGAGATCAACCTGATGCATGGTAAGGGGGCCCGGTGTCGCGGCCACCTCACATCCTGTGTGCCAGGCACTTATCGTGGAATCCTCAGTGCCCTGGATATGCAGACCTTGTGGGTGGCGCATCCTGGATGTGCTCTGACCCCAGGGCAAATGAGTGGTCAGAAATCAGGCAACTGGGCTGGGGATTTAGCTCAGTGGTTCCACCACCTGCCTCATAAGTGCAAGGTCCCTAGTTCCATCCCCAGTACCAAAACAAAAACAAAAACAAAAGAAATCAAGCAACAAACAGGGCTGGGCACCGTGGTGCATACCTACAGTCCCATCTACTCAGGAGGCTGAGAGGCGAGGGCGTGGAGGAGCTGATGGGGAAGGACCAGATGGACAGAGAGCACCATAAGGGTGGATGGGCTGTTCTGGGTGAGATGGACAGGTGAGTAAATGGAGAGGGGGGTGTTCGGAGTGGGATGGGTCAGTAGGTATGTGTACATATGTGAGCAGGTATGTCAGCAGAATGTGTAGAGTTTCCCTAGGTGAATAGATAGGAGTGGGGAATGGAAAAAGGAGCTGGTGGTATTTGGGGCATGAGGCATGCATTGGTGGGTGGGTGCGTAAATGAATAGTTTGTATGGATGGCTGGATGAATGGATGGATAGAAGGGATGGAAGGGACTAATGGACGGATGGGAGAGTGGGTGTGTGGGTAGATGAATGCCTGAGTGGATGGATAGAAGAACCTGAAGAGGAATGGTGGCCAGTGAAGAGATAATAAAAAGGTGATGATGGCTGGGAGGACAGACAGGGGTAGGCGGATAGGTGGCTGGCTGGACGGCTGAAGGTAAGGTGGATAACCGGACGAGTGGCTGTTGTTTGCCAGGATGAATGGAGCTGAGGTGATGTTGGGTGATGTGCAGGAATGACAGGCGGGGCAGGCGCCTGCCCACTCTACCTGACCCCTTCCTGGCCTGAGCTTTTCCCTTTCCATTTCCCAGGCGCCCCGGACCCCACAGCGGGCGCAAGCATCGAGGACGCCAACTGCTGGCACCTGGATGAGGAGCAGATCCAGGAGCAGGTGAAGCAGCTGCTGTCCAACGGCGGCTACTACGGGGCCAGCCAGCAGCTGCACTCCATGTTCAGCAAGGTGCGGCAGGGGCAGGGGGGACGCTCCCGGGGAAGGCCCCGCCCCCTTTTCACACCCCTCCCCTACTCCACCCCCTGCACAGGTGCGGGAGATGCTGCGCATGCGGGACTCCAATGGAGCGCGCATGCTCATCCTCATGACCCAGCAGTTCCTGCAGGACCCGCGCCTGGCGCTGTGGCGGCAGCAGGGCGCAGGAATGACTGACAAGTGCCGGCAGCTATGGGACGAGCTGGGTAAGGCCTGGGTGTGAGGGTTGGGGCCCTGAATCTGCTCTCCATCACTTGGGGACACTTACATAGCTCCTGCCACATGGGCAACGAGGCCCTGCCCCATGATGCCATAGAGGGTAGAGAAGGTACCTGGTGAAATACTATCCACGGGGCCAGGAGCATGGTGGCGCATGCCTGTCATCCCAACACTCGAGAGGCTGAGGCAGGAAGATCACGAGTTCCAGCCTAGGCCATATAGTGAGTTCAAGGCCAGCCTGGAATGCATAGCAAGACCCTATCTCAAAACAAAACAATACTATCTATCCACTCCTTTCTTGGTTTCCATGACAAATTGGATCCAGGACCCCCACCCACTCAGGAACCAGGAAGCTTCCAATGCTCAAGTCCCTTATATAAATGGCATGGTATTTGCATAGAACCCGCACACATTCTTTTCCTAGTCCTGGAAATGGACCCCAAGAGTGCTTTGTCACTGAGCTACGTCCCTCTTCAGCTATTCTAATTCTTCATTTGGAGACAAAGTCTCCCTAAATTGCCCAGGCTGGGTTCCAATTTCTAATCCTCCTGCCTCACACTCTCCAATCACTGGGATTACAGGTGAGTGCCACCCTGCCTGGTTTCCTTTTTGGCCCTTTTTTTTTTTTTGGTACTGGGGATCGAACTGAGGACTTTGTGCTTTCGAAGCAGAGAGTGGAACCCCTGAGCTAAATTCCTGGCCCTTTTTTTTTTGGTACCAGGGATCGAACTCGGGACCTTGCACTTGCGAGGCAGGTGGCAGAACCACTGAGCTAAATCCCCGGCCCTTTATTATTTGTGCGTGGTTTTCATATACATTATTTTTGTGGTGGTGGAGAAGGAACACAGGACCTTTACACTCAGCTTTTCATTTAATTATTTATTTTATTTTGAGACAGCGTCTCCCTAAATTGCTAAGTTGTCCCTGCTAGACTCAAACTTGCAATCCTCCTGCCTGAGTGCTGGGATAACAGGTGTCCACCACCATGCATGCGAAGCTGAATCCTGACTTCTAACATAAAAATAGAATGACCTTGGACAGTATTGTTTTCTCTTTGCCCCTCGGTTTCCTTACCCAGTGAAGAGTGTATTAGTTGCAACCTCAACGGGTCCAGATTAGGATTAGGCAATGCAGTGGCAGCCTGCAGGAGGCGTTATGCAGTGTGTGCTGCCAACATAGGTCCTCATCCTGACCTCCCTTGTGCCTCCAGGGGCCTTGTGGGTCTGCATCATTCTGAGCCCACACTGTAAACCAGAGGAGCGAGCAGGCTGGCTCCAGCTGCTGGCCACATGGGACAAGCTGGACGTGTGCCCACTGGAAGAGGGCAACTACTCCTTCGATGGCCCCAGCCTGCAGCCCTCAGCAGCCCCCAGCCCAGGTAGGATGGTTCCTGCCACTTCTGTCCAACAAAACCATCCCCACTGACTGCCCCAACTTGCCGTCATGGCAGTCTGTTTCAGGAGAGAGGAGTGGGGGACAAAAAAAAGGGGGCCCAGCCATTGGCAGTCTTCCCAAATAAGAGGAAGTAAGTGCTGAGGGCAGGAGTGATGCAGCCTGAAGGACAGTGAGGTGCAATTCTTAGGGCACTTGCAACCCTGGCTCAGCTTCCTCTTGGCTGTGAAGGTGGAAAGAGGACGGAGAGAGTAAAGAACAGGTAGTCAAACAGAGTGGGTATGTGAAATAATGAAGAGAAACAGGTGTAGGGATGGTGCGAGAGAAAGGCAGACAGAAGAGCAGAGAAGAGAAGACCAAGAGACTGACAAGAAAGCAGAGGGAGAAGGACACAGACACACACCTACTCACCTCAGTTTTCTCCTGTGTGTGGGCCGGAGCGCCGCCAGCACCCACCCCCATCTCCAAGTGCTGCTTTGAGGACCGGGAGGTGAATGGTGCCCATGGCTCTGCCCAGGGTCTAACCCAAGTTGGAGCCAGGTGGGGAGCACTGGCTGGAGCTGGGCGCCCACACTAGACCACCTTGGGCGCCTCTCCCACAGGCCCCCGGCAAGGAGAGGCGGAGGTGACAGCCACCCGTTCCCGTCACACGGTGTTTGGGCGTGCCCTGCAGGCCGGGGCACTGCACTGGAAGGACGCCCACCTCCAGAGGATCCTGGCCAGCGACTCCCCCAGTCCCAGCCTCACAGGCAGCACTGGGGGTGACAAGCCGGACTTTGACCCGCAGGGCCGCCCGCTCTGGCTAGGCGAACCCTTTCCCACTGCCTGCGCCCGGGTGGACACCCTGCGTGCCCATGGGTACCCACACAAGGCGCTGCGGCTGGCTGGCGCCATCGTCAACACCCTCCGGCTACAGCAGCGGCACCAGCTTGAGATCTACAAGCAGCAGAAAAAAGGTGGGCACCAGTCCTCTGAACATCCCCGGGGTGTAGGAACAGGGACAAATCCAGACTTCCACCAGGAAAAGAGCCACGAAGGTGTCTGGCACAGAAAGGAATTTAATACAGGGATTGAGGATTCCCAGACCCATCGGAAGCAGCAAGGGACTGAGCCGAGCACAGTGACAAATCCCTGTAATCTGATTCCAAGTGCAAGGCCAGCCTGGGCAGTAGAGTGAGACCCTGACTTTAAAAGGGGACTTCTGGGTGTGGTGGTGCACACCTGTCATTCCAGCACTCTGGGAGGCTGAGGCAGGAGGATCACAAGTTCATGCCCATCCTGGGCAACTCAATGACTTAGTGAGACCCTGTCTCAAAATAAAAATGAAAAAGGGCTATGGATGTATAAGGATGTAACTCAGTGCCAAGGCTCTGGGTTCAATCCCAGTACTGAAAATATACAAAAACCACTCTAAAGCACAGGGACTGTAGCACATTGGTAACAGCAGCAGACTGCAGTCCTGAGGGGATCTCTAGCTCACAAGAGGACACCAGAATTTGCTGCCCAAACCTCATGTCTGGACCCTGCATCCTCCGGAGTCTAGGAAATGTAGATTCTGAGCCACCAGCTCCTGCAGTAGAGGGAATGCCAGCCACAGGTCCCTCCAGAGCCTTGACCCAGGGGTGACTAGCTTTGCAGATTTTTTCAAGAGCAATCAAAAGCCTGTTGATGTGAAACTTGGGAATTTGTAGTTAACCAGGCACACTGAGAGTGCCCTGGAGAAGGGGCGAGAAGAAGGGCACTCCAAGTGCAGGGAATGGCACAAGCAGGATCCCGAGGGAGAGAGAGGGTGCTTGCTTGGCCTGGAGGAGGAGGCTGGGGGTGGGTTCCAGACAGCAGGTGACCACCCTGCTAAGCAACCTCACATTGGTCCATGGAGACTCCGAAAACTGTCTGAGCTGGACTTCAGCCAGGTGAAGCAGTCCTGAGGGATAGAGGAGGAGACGGCACTGGGATTGTGTGTTGTGGAAAGCCCCTCGTGTCCTCCCTGTGTCCTGCCTGGTCCAGCAGTGCCACCACAGAGTCCTAGGTCAAAGAGCATGGCCTCTGAGTGGGCTGCTGGTAGCACCAGGGGTCAGGAAGAGGAATGTGCCCCTCTTGTGCACGTGGGCAGGACTTGTGCCCCTTTTTAACCTGCAGAACAAGGGCCGGGGATTTCACTCCGTGGTGCAGCACCTGCCTGGCAAGCACAAGGTCCTGAGTTCGATTCCCAGTACCGGGAAAAAAAAAGCAATGGACAGCTTGTGGGCTGCAGCACTACCAAAGTTGTGAATGCCCCTTTGTTAACCTGCAGAGCTGCTGCAGAAAGGCATCACCTGCATCACCAACACGGAAGGCTGGATGGGCCACCCCCTGGACCCCATTGGCTGCCTCTGCAGGGCACTCCTGGAGGCCTGTCGCCTGGAGGAGGAGACCCTCTCACTTTACCCAGGTACCCACGTTGGAGGACCTGGAGAAGGACCATCCCCACTGTGTTGGCCCCGCCCCTCACCCAGTGATCCATGAAGGTGACATTACACCCTGGCCACAACCCTGACCTAGTACTCCTAGGTGGTGTCACACATCCTGGCCCTGCCCTACCACAGACTCCTGGACTCCTGAGTGACATCACTCTCTTGGCCACGCCCCTTGGCCAGGAGCCAATACACTAAGCCTCTTCTGAAAATGAGGCCACTCTAGAGGAGCTGCTGCTAGGAGCAGCCCTACCCTCAGATCGGGGGCGCCCCCAGCTCTTATTCCACTCCTGTTGCCATGCTTGGGCCCAAGAGCCACAGGTTCCCAGAGAAGGAGGTGTCAGCCTTCAGCAGCCCTGGTCCTGTCTCCCTCAGACTCAGGCACCGAGAAGCGGAAGGCACTCTACCAGCACGTACCGGTGCCCGGGAGCCCCGGGGAGTCTTATCTGGCGCTGGCGCTGGAGGTGGCACTTCTGGGGCTGGGGCAGCAGCGGCCCTTGCCCGAAGGCCTGTACGCCCAAGACAAGGTGGTGCGCAACGAGGAGCAGCTGTTAGCCCTGCTGGAGGACGTGGATTTGGATGACAGGCTGGTACAGGTGCTCCGCAAGCAGGCGGGGCTGCAGCTGGAAGGTGAGGCCCCGCCCCCCGCGCTTTATTGTTCACGCAGAGAGTGCCGGCTCCTAGTCCCGCCTCCTAGTATGTACTAGCAGCCATTAACTGCTGTGGATGGTGAGCCCCCTCGAACACCACCCCCCAGCTCTGCCTCCTGGGCTTTACTGTCAACTCAGAGAGAGCCAGTTTTTAGTCCCGCCCCCAGGACATGCTGCCAGCCAATAACTGCTCTCAATGGTGAGGCCCCGCCCTTTGCCCAGTTTGGAGCCAGTGGGCTAACCGTTTCTGAAAGGGGAGGTAACAACATGAGCACCGCCTCTGTGCCTCACTGGCTCCGCCCATGGTCTGAGCCAATTGGCTTGTTTACTGTGAATTTCCACCCCCACTGCTGCAGGAGTTATTTGGCGCTTCCCCCTCTGGTCTTCCTCCTGGTGGAACCTTGCTGGTCTTGGGCCCTAGAGGCCAGGGGCTGCCTCCACCTCAGAGTGTCAGATTTCTCCTTGGATTGTCCAGCACTTGTCTCCGTCTCAGCCCTAGGCCCCTGTCCCTAGGATCTGTCCCGTCCAGTAGGTCCTGAGGTCTGGGGAAATTTGATGGGGGAGGTGGCCACTTCCTAGGTGCTGAGCTGTGCCTAGGTCCTGTGACTGTGCCTGCAGGGGGTCCCTTCAGCGGCTTCGGGGAGGTGCTCTTCCGGGAGAGCGTGCCCATGCACACCTGTGCCCGCTACCTGTTCAGTGCGCTACTGCCCCACGACCCCGACCTGGCCTACCGCCTCGCACTCCGTGCCATGAGGTGAGGACGGGGATATGGGGCTGGGGACACAGCCTGGGTCAGGGTGACAGCAGGGCATGTGAGCCTACCCTCTGGGAAACTCACGGCCTCACTACCTACTGCAGCTGCCTCATCCTGGCATCTGGGTCTTTGGCTCCTCCTTACCAACAGAAGTGTGTAATGTGATTTTGAACTTGGGGAACATCCCTTGGCACAGAATTAAAAAAGGACACAAAGCCTAGTCCTTCAAGGCAGGTTTAGCTCACCCCACCCAAGTCTCTCTGGAGACGAGCAAGATTTACCTTTTTCTGCAAGAGTGGAGATTGCTGTAAACCTTTCTGCATGTTGGCAGCTGGGTCTCAGGGCTGGGGTGTGGCTCAGTGGTGAGCACTTGCCTAGCATGCTCGAGAGCCTGGGTTCCAGCCCCAGCACCAAAAAAGAAAATGCTTTTTACATTTTTATGGACCCAGCACACTCCCTCTGCACAACTCTGCTCCCAGTTTTTATATTTTTGAATGATTGAAAGAATCAAAATCAAAAGAATGCTTTTTAACATGTGAAAAATATATGAAATTCAAATTTCAGTGCCCAGAAATGAAGTGTTATTGGCACCCAGCCACATGTATTCATCTGGGTTTTGTACAACAACACATAATTGCATCATTGTGACAGAGACCAAATAGCCTGCAAGGCCAGAACGGGTGGTTGTCCAGCCTTTTGCAGGAAAAAGACCTGATCCGTGTTAAGTCTGTAGAATTGTCTAAGCAACCAGGTAAATAAGTGTATTTACCCTCAGCTTACACATAACAAGCTCAAGGTGTCTTCCATGGTCATGCAACAAGGAAATGTAGGGAATAACTGAAACCAAGGATTCAGGGTATAGCTTAGTGATAGAAACACCCTACCTTCCATCCCTAATTCCAGAAAAAATACAACCGCGTATGTATTGATGATTACAGAAATTTTTCCTTGTCAAATTCCTTAATGGTTTAAGAACCATTTGGATCACATGTGCATTCAGTCAGGTGGTCTGAGTCATCGAGGGATGATCACAAGCCTGTGGTAGAATTGTATAGCTTTTATGCAAGTTCCAAGCCATTTGGGGGTTTTTGTTTGTTTGGGGTTTTTTTGTTACCGGGGATTGAACGTGGGACCTTGCACTTTCGAGGCAGGTGGTGGCACCACTAAGCTAAATTCCCGGCCCTTGTTTGTTTGTTTTCTTGAGAAAGGGTCTCACTATGTAGTTCAGACTGGCCTTGAACCCACTATGTGGCCCAGTCTGGCCTTGAACTTGTGGCAACCCTCCTGACTCAGCCTCTCACGTGCTGGGATGACAAGCATGCACCTGGCACCATACCATTTATATAAGGTACTTAAGCATTGACAGATTTTGGAATCTGGGGGTGCCCTGGAACCACTCTCCTACAGAATCTAAGAAGTGACTGACTACACAGTGAGCTGGTTAATAGTATACAGGAGTTTTTGAGTCATTCAACAAACATTTGTTCACCCATGATGCACCAGACATTGTTCTGGCTGTTGTTAATGCCCCGATGGAGCTGACATTCTAGGGAGCTTGACAGTGAATAAATGAACAGGTAAACTGTGTCCGGTGAGAGGACACTTAATGGCTGGGAAAGGAGGGCTGCAAGGGGAGAGGCATCTGAAGCAGGAAGTGGTAGTTTGCCATGTGGTAGGGACTTCAGGGCAGTCCACTGAAAATATTTGAGAAAGACCTGGGGAAGAGTATCCAGGCTGTGGTAGTGGCAGTGCGGGGGACCTGCAGCAGGGTGATGCCTGGTATGTTTGTGGCACACTGAAGAGAACAGGGTCGGGTGGAACTGGGAGGGGAAGGGTGTGTCGGGCCTAATGGGGGCTGTGTCAGGACACAAGCTAGCCCTCCGCTCTTCACCAGCCACCAATCACGACTTCTGCCCCTCTTCCCCTGCCCTGCCAAGTCTCTGGTAACTGCTCTTCCCTCTTTTGCAAGATCCACTTTTTTCTTTTTGAGACAGGATCTCATTGAGTTGCCCAGGCTGGGCTGGAACTTGCAGTCCTCCCGCCTCAGCCTCCCCCAGTGCTGGGATTACAGGCATTTGCTACCACACCCAGCTGAGATCAAATTTTTTGGCTTCTATATGAATGAGAACATGGGATATCTGTATTTTGTGCCTGGCTTATTTTATTTAACACGATGTCCTCTCAGTCCATCCACATAACTACAAGCAGCTGGATTGCTTGTGTTCGGGGTTGAGTAGTACTCCATTCTACCCTAGTTTCTTCATCCATCCATGAATACACCAGTGGATTCCATGTCATAGCTGTCATGAGTGGTTCTATAATAAACACCAGAGTATGGGTGTCTTTTTTACGTACTGATTTCCTTTCCAGCAGTGGCATTGCTAAATCATATGACAGTTCTATTTTCAGGGCTTTTTTTTTTTTCTTATGTACTGGGAATTGAACCCAGGACTGAGCTACATCTCCAGCCTTTTGTTGTTGTTTTTATTTTGAGGCAGGGTCTCAATAAATTGCCCAGGCTGGGCTGGAGCTTGTGACCCTCCTGCCTCAGCCTCCCATAGTGCTGAGATTACAGATGTGTACCACCATACCTAGCTATTTTTAGTTTTTTACGTCACCTCTGTGCTACTTTCCACAGTGGCTGTACTAATTTGCCTTCACACTAACAGTGAGTAAGGTCCCCTTTCCTCCACATCGCCTCCAACATTCCCAGTCTCGCTTTTTGTTCCTGCCACACTGGAGATAGAACCCAGGGCCTCACACGTATTAGGCAAGTGCTACCACTGAGTGCACCCCTGGTGCTTCTTACCTAATGTTGAGGCAAGGTCTTGCTGTGTTGTCCAGGCTGGCCTCACACCTGGCGATCCTCCTGCAGCACCCTCTGGAGCAGCTAGGATGACAGCCTTGCGCCACCAGGCCCCATGTGATGACAGCCACCCTAACCCCACTGTGTCTTAGACACCAGCACGGGGAAGTCTGTGCACACCCAGCGCTGGTGCTCTGCTGGCCCTAGTGGAGAGGCTGGGTGGGGTCTCTCTCACTGTGGCTGGCTTCTGCCCTCACCAGGCTGCCCGTCCTGGAGACAGCATTTCCGGCTGGAGACCCTCGCCCCAACCCACTGGACTCCATCGTGAGCAGCCGCTTCCCCCGCTGGTTCATCCTGGGCCATCTGGAGACACGTCAGTGCGAGCTGGCGTCCACCATGCTGACGGCTGCCAAGGGTGAGGACAGCACTCCCCCGCCCTGTCTCTGTCCTCTCTTCCGCCTTCTCTTGCTCTGCCTTCTGCTCCTGCTCCCCCTCCCAGTGCTGTCCCAGGGGCTGGGGTTGTGGCCAGCAGCAAGACTGTCCCTGATCTCCTTTCCTGTGGGAAGACAGAAACAGTCTAGAGACAGAGACCGTTTATCTTTCTGGTGGTACTGGGGGTGGAACCCAGGGCCCCCCATATGCTAGGCAAGCAGGTGGACATACAAGCAAGGACCTGAAGGTGAAGCTGCCCATGGCAGTGGACACCTGCGTGCTGCAGCCTGCACAGCTGAAGGGTCCACAGAGGGAGCTGTGGGGGATGAAGAAAAAGGACAGAACAAAGAGATACAAAAGCTGGGGCCAGGTGGAGCCTTACTCCTGATGGGAGAAAAGTCCTGCCAGGCAACTGCAGGGCGTTTATTTATAGTGGTAGAGATAAGGGAAGTGCAAGGGGGAGGAGAAGGGGCTGGTCTGTAACCAGAACCAGGAGAGCAGCTAAGATCTGCAGAACATCATGCTTTGATGGTTTTATAGGGAATGAACAGGGAGGAAGGCACATCCACAGTGCAGCAATCCCAGCACCTGTGATCCTAGCACTTGGGGAGGTTGAGGCAGGAAGACTGAAAGTTCAAGCTCAGCCTAAGTGACTTAGCAAATTAGCAAGACCCTGTCTCAAAGTAAAAAATGGTTGTGTAGCTCAGTGTGAAGGCCCTGGGTCCAATCCCCAGTACCACAAATTTAATTATTAATACATAAATAATAAATAAATAAATAAATAAAAACACCTGTAGGCCAGGGATTTAGCTCAGTGGTTCTGCCACCTGCCCCACAAGTGCAAGGTCCCGAGTTCGATCTCCGGTACCAAAAAAAAAAAAAAAAAGACGGTCCCGAGTTCAATCCCCAGTACCAAAAATAAAATAAAATAAAAGACCTGTAGATAAGGACAGAGCTATAGAGATATCAAAGGTTTTGGTCAGCTTGGTACCAAAATATAGTAGGCTATGCAACTTCAACAATAGAAATTTATTTCTATTTGTGTTTTTTGAGACAGGGTCTCAAACTCACTATGTCTCCCAGGCTGGCTTTGAACGGGCAATGATCCTCCTGTCTCAGCCTCCTGAGTGCTGGAATGACAGGCATGTGCCACCAGGCCTGACCAGAAATTTATTTTTCCATAGTTCTAGGAGCCCAATCCAAGGTCAGGTTGCCAGCAGGGTTGGCTCCTGGTGAGGACACCACCTTTTCATTACATCCTCATGACAGGGAGACTGGGAGTCAGAGGAAATTCGTGTTTTCTCATAGGGTGCTGGTCCTCTCCTAAGGGCCCTACCCACAGGACCTCATCTAGCTCTAATTTCCTCCACAGGCCCATCAGACACCTCGCACTGGAGATTCTCAGCACAGGATTTGGGGGAAGGGGACACAGCTTAGTCCATAGCCTCTGGAAGACCTTTCCAGGCAGAGGGAGCCACCAGTGCAAGGCCCCTGGGGCCAATCATATCTGATGTGCTTGAGGAACAAAAGGTGGCTGGTGTGGCCAAAGAAGGGAGAAGGGAAAATATAGGATCTGGACCACTGTTAATAATAGCAATGAAAGCCAACATTTTGGCTAGGAGTGGCTCACGGGCACAGCACATGGTTTTGAGCTTTTGGGGAGTTGTTTCGGTTTGTTTTGTTTTTTGTTTTCTTCTGGCACTGGAGACTGAACCCAGGGCTTTCACACTGAGCTATATCCCCAGAAATTTTTATTTTTCATTTTGAGACTGAGTCTCACTAAGTCACTGAGTTGCCCAAACTGGGTTTGAACTTGATTCTCCTGCCTCGGCTTCCCAGTATGCTGGGATTACAGGTCTGCACCATGCCTGGCATAGATCACATGGGTAACGTGAAAGGCCTAGAGTTTGATCCCCAGACAAAGAAAAAGAAAAGAAGCCAATGTTTGCCTAGCACTTTACTGTGCTGCAGCCCATCCAAGTTTGGACTCACCCCTTGTGAGCTCCCTTGGTGTTGCCCGCTTTATGGGTATAGCAGCCAAGGCACAGAGAGGTATAGTGAGGGGTGGGACAGGGTTTGAACCTTGTCATTCCAGGTCCAGAACGGTTGGCTTGACAACTAGGACCCTGTTCCTTCTGCTGGAACAGAGGCAGGGACAGATCAGACACGCCAGGTGGGCTGGGCCTGCCAAGGTGCAGGCATGGCCTGGTCCCCATGCTCCTGGCCAGGGGAACGGGGGACCCAACCGTGCCCTCCACCGCAGGAGATGCCAAGTGGCTGCACGTGGTCCTGGTTTCCATCCAGCAGAACATCCACTCCCCAGCTCTGCTCTTCAAACTGGCACAGGACGCCTGCAAGACAGCCACCCCAGCCAGCACACCCCCAGATACCACGCTGCTGGGCATCGCGCTGGAACTGGGCCTGCAGGTGAGCTGGGGATGGGGCCTGCTCATGTGCCCGCCTCTGGGTGGGGCTGCTTGGAGCCCCGCCTCTGGGTGGGGCCTTGGGAGTTCCGCCTTGGGTTGGGTTTGAGTGGGAGCTTGGGCTCTGTGAGTAAAGGTCCTAGTTCACCTAGCATCTGCAAGCCCCTGAGTTAAATCCCTAGCTTGCAAAAAAGCAAAAACTGGAACAAGCCAGGTAGTGCACCCTTGTAATCCTACCCACTCAAGAGGCTGAGGCAAGAGGATTGCAAGCTCTAGGCCAGCTGAGGCAACTTAGCAAGACACTGTCTCAAAAGTAAACTGGGCTGGAGGTGTGGCTCATTGATACTGCTCTGGCCTAGAGTGCCTGGGTCTCTGGGTTTCATCCCTAGCACTAGGGTGGGGAAGAGCCTGGGGCTGGGACTGTGTGCCTTGGTGGTTCAGGGCTGGGGAGGGGCTGTGTTTAATTGGTTCAGGGCTGTCAGTGGGTGGGATTTAAAATGAGGATGGGACTGAGCCCACCAATAAGGCACTCACCTGGGGGCATGGCCTGAAGGGAGCCAGGGAAAAGGGAAAAATGCCACCTCAGGGGCCAGAGCCTTGGGGCGATATCTCCTTGTCAAAGCACCTAATGGGTTTGATCTCCAGCACCACAAAAGAAAGGTAATCCTTTACCCATATCATGCTGTTTAACCCTTGTAACACCCCTATAAGGTAAATACTTTTCTTTTTCTGTGAGGCTGGCATGGAACTCCAAGCCTCATGTACGCTAGACAAGCACTCTACTACTGAGCACCCCCCCGACACAGATACTTTTCCTTTTTGTATGACTGGGAATAGATCTGAGGGAACCCCAGCCCCTTTTTTGAAATTTTTTTTAAATGTTGAGAGAAAGTCTCACTAAGTTACCCAGGCACACTTGCGATCCTCCTGCCTCAGCCTCCCAAGTAGCTGGGATCACAGCTGTGCACTAGGCTGCCCAGATCTAGGATACCAAGGAGGAGACAGAGGCCAAAGGGGTAAGGCCTCGTGCCCCAGTTTGTTGGGTCAGTTCTTTCTTGTACCCCACACTCTTGAGACCCCTTGTCTCGCTTTCTGGCCCTGCAGGTCATGCGGATGACCCTGAACACCATGACATGGCGCCGGAGGGAGATGGTGCGCTGGCTGGTCAGCTGTGCCACAGAGATCGGTGAGAGACCCAAGGGGACACCCAGCCAGTCACCCTGCTCTGCTTCGGGAGGTGCCACCCAGGGGAAAAGCAGAGGCCCTTGATTAAAGCCTGCACTCAGGGCCAGGCAGGGAGGGGATGTCAGGCAGGGGAGATGGAGGCAGACAAAGGCCAGCTGGGCTATAGGAGCTCGGGAAAAAGAAAGGGGCTCCAGGCCGGGGATTTAGCTCAGTGGTTTCACCGCCTGCTGCGCAAGTGCAAGGACCCGAGTTTGATCCCTGGTACCAAGAAAAAAGGAAAGGGGCTCCACATATGGGCTCCTCACCCAGTCCCGCTGCCCCCTGCTTCTTTGAAAAGGTAAAAAAAAAAGTTTCTTGGGCCAGGGATTTAGCTCAGTGGTGCCGCCTGCCTCACAAGCACAAGGTCCCAAGTTCGATCCCTGGTACCAAAAAAAAAAAGTTTCTTAGCCAGGTATGGTGTTGCATCTGGGAGGCAGAGGCAGGAGGATCCCAAGTGCAAGCCCACCCTGGGCAACTTAGCAAGACACTCTCTCAAAATACTCATTTTGAAGGCCCTGGGTTCAATCCCTAGTACCTCCCAAAGAAGTTTAGAGGCAGGAGTACTTCCGGAGGCCTGGCTGTTGCGGGGTGTGGAAGACCCGTGGTGTCTCTGAAGACCCCGCCTCCTCCCCTGAGCCCACCCCCAACCCCCTCCAGGTCCCCAGGCGCTGATGAACATCATGCAGAACTGGTACTCGCTGTTCACGCCCGTGGAGGCGGCCACCATCGTGGCAGTGACGGGGACCGCACATGCCACGCTGCTGCGGCTGCAGCTGGACACGCCACAGCAGGAGGAGCTCTGGACCTGCGCTCGCACCCTGGCCTTGCAGTGCGCTATGAAAGACCCTCAGAACTGCACCCTACCCGCCCTGACCCTGTGTGAGAAGAGCCATGCAGCCTTTGAGGCCGCCTACCAGATTGTGCTGGACGCGGCGGCCGGCGGCCTGGGCCACGCACAACTCTTCACGGTGGCCCGCTACATGGAGCACCGAGGGCTGCCGCTGAGAGCCTACAAGCTGGCCACGCTGGCCCTGGCACAGCTCAGCATTGCCTTCAACCAGGACAGCCACCCAGCCCTCAATGATGTGCTGTGGGCCTGCTCCCTCAGCCACTCGCTGGGCCGCCACGAGCTCTCGGCCATCGTGCCCCTCATCATCCGCAGCATCCACTGTGCCCCAATGCTGTCTGACATCCTGCGCCGATGGACACTCTCAGCACCAGGCCTTGGCCCTCTGGGGGCCCGCCGGGCCACCAAGCCGCTGGGCACTGACCGGGCGCCACTGTGTCAGCTCCTGGATGCCGCTGTCACCGCCTACATCACCACCAGCCACTCTCGCCTCACGCACATCAGCCCACGACACTATGGTGACTTCATCGAGTTCCTGGGCAAGGCCCGTGAGACCTTCCTGCTGGCACCAGACGGACACCTGCAGTTCACCCAGTTCTTGGAAAACATCAAACAGACCTACAAGGGCAAGAAGAAGCTGATGCTCTTGGTGCGGGAGCGTTTTGGCTGAGATGTCAGCAGTGGCCAGGGACACAGAGGATGGGATCCCCAGTCCCTGCCTCCTCATCGCCTGCAGTGCTGGGCAGAGCAGCATCAGTATTAAGTCAGGGAAGGGGATGGGAGGTGTGTGCCTGGGAGTGTGCAAGCGAGTGTGCAAGACACAGGAGCAGAAGCCATACTACCACCCAGATGCCTGGAAGGGGGTGTGTGCTTGGGCAGCTCGTATAACCCCCACCTTGGCCTTGGGCACCCCAGAAGCAATTAGGCAAGCACTGCTCCCCTTGCTGGGCTCCGGAAGAGGACCTGTCTGGAACCTGGTCCTGGGTGATGCAGCACAGGGTCCTGGCTCCCACCCACACGGCCAGGGGACTTTCTACAAGGGCAGCTCAGGGGCCCCATTCTGTTGCCCTGAACCTCCTCCCAGGCTGCCCCACCCCCAGTTGAAGGGTCTCACAAGGTCTCAGGCCTCAGCCACATACCTCACTCTCAGCCCCTTGTCCGGCCTGGATCCCTTGGCCACGAGGCTCCTCGGGGAGGCTGGGTCTGGGATTGTCACTGCCCCCCCCCACTAGGCACTGGACAGACAACTCAGGAACCAGGCAGTGCTCATACCCCCCACTGAGCACGGTGTCAGGATCTGGGCACTCGAGAGCCAGGGGACCCCATGTGGAAGTGAGACAGGGGCTCTGGGTCCTCCCTCTGGCTGTCTCCACCCCTTCACCTTACTGTCTCATATTTCTCTCCAGTCAGCCTCCCTTTCTATGTTCATTTAGGTCCCAGATGTGGCTCTCTGGCCTCCTTCTCCTGCCCTGGTATGGCCTAGGAGGAGGAGGAGGAGGAGGAGGAAGAGGAAGAGTGCCCCACCCCCACCCCATCCCACCTTTCTCCCCTCTTGTATAATAAGGAAGATGGAATCATTTTGTAACTTTTTCTTCTATTTATTGAACCGTATATTGTATTTCCTTCACACACACCCCCTGCCTTTTTAAAAAGATGAAACAGCTTCTTTTTAACTTTATTTTGAGACTAAGGTGTGTCCCCCCATCCCAGAGTCAGCGTCCCCCTGTTCTCTCAGCAAAAAAACAAGAAAGATCTGCAGTCTTGTTTCTGGTCAAAGGTTCAATTGAGGGCCGGAGGGGAAGCGGCTACGGCATAGAGGACTTTACAGCTGTCATCTGCTTATTACAGCCACCCTGCAATGGATTATCCCTGTGTGTGTGTGTGTGTGTGTGTGTGTGTGTGTGTGTGTGTGTGTGTTTGAGGCAGGGTCTGGCTATGTAGTACAGTCTGGCCTTGAACTCACCATGGACCCCAAGCTGGTCTTGAACTCACTACGTACCCCAGGCTGGTCTTGAACTCCAGGGGATCCTCCTACCTCAGGCTCTGGAGTCCTGGGATGATAGGCCTACACCACCACCCCTGACTCTTATCAACCCCATTTCACGAAGGACACAGGAGAGGCCCCAACGTTTAAGGCAAAGGTATCCAGCTAGGAAGCAACGGATTCTTGATGTAGGACCTGACGGTTCCACCGCTTCTCAGCGCCCAATTGCACGGTGCTTGGGAATGCGCGTTGGGAGTGGCCACTAGGGGGAGCCCCGGACATGGGTCATGGGCGCTTGTCTGAATGGCTGGGCTGGGGCGGCCTGCAGGTGCTAGGCTGGGCAGAGCCCTGTTCGCCGGTGGGCGTGGCTCAGGAACGCAAGCAAGGGGGCGTGGGCCAAGGCATGTCTGGGTTCTTAATGCAGCAAATGTCGCGAGGGCCCCAAGAGTCATGGGTAGCCCCTCATCATCTTCTTGGACCTTTGAAGAGGGCTCCCCAGGGCTCCTACGCTGAGAGGAGATGGACAGTGAACTGAGTGTCTCGGTCACTGTCAGGGCCAAGGCAGGCGAGGACCGCAGCGCTGAGGGGCCAGTCGGGCGCTAGAGGGTGCCGTGGCAGCGCGAGCAATCGGGGGCGGGACTCCGGCTGCGCTGGGTACGCCGATTGGTTCCGAGTGACGCCCTGGGATCTAGGGGGCCAATCGGCGACGGCCCTACCTCCAGCCCCGCTCATTCCTGCAGGTACGTGCTGCGGAGGCTTGGACCCGCCCGCAGGCTGCCTTAGACTGGGCCGGGGTGGGGCGACGATCCGGGCTTCCCACTCTGCCGTTGGTCCGCCTTGGTGCCCCTCGTGGGGCTCGGGCGCCCTCACTGCTCCCGTTACCCACGGGTATCCCTACCGACTGGGGGCCACTTAGTCCCCTGCCACCTGAATATCTCCCCCTTGGACCAGGAATCTCCTCCGCCTTACGCATACACCTTCTAGCTGGGCGTGGTGGCAACGCCTGTCATCCTGGGACTCCGGAGGCTGAGGCAGGAGGCTTGCCGAGACTCCGAGCCAGCCTACAATCAAGACCGTCTCGAAAAAAATTTCAGCATTCTTAAGACAGCAGGCACCCTAGATCTCTCCCCACAGCCCAGGTTAAGTCCCAGTGGTCCCCAAATGCCATTAGCTCAGGACCCTCACGTCCAGTGGTCTCCCGGTCCAGTTTGTCCTGAGGCCCAATCCACCCCCACCATCCCTAGATCAGGCTCCCTTCCCTCCCTCTTGGCTCAGTCATCATTCATAGTAACCCTCATTTTTGTTCCTCCCACAATAGTGTCACCCCAGGACATCCCTCAAAGTCACCTCTCCAAGCTCAGGGCCCCCCTTGGTCCACAGGAAAACAAGTCTGGCTTTTCCCGCCACCCTCAGAGCGGGGGTTGGGAGCCGGTGAGATCTGGAGCCCCTGCTCCAGAATGCAAAGGCTGCATGTGTAGCCGGCAAGGTAACTCGGTGGTGAGCGCTGGTCCAGCCCGCACGAGGCCGGAGTTCCACCCCCAGCATCGGAAAGAATAAAAAGCTGTAACTGTAAGGACAGAGACAGGAGCAAATCACGGACCATCAGAGCCTCAGGAGTGAAGCTGGGACAACTTTTATTTCACTGGGCATCACATGCGGGGCACAATACAAATGCTGCCCTCCCTCCACCCAAGCTCCTGTCTGCCCCTACCTGGGCAACACCAGGCCAGCCCTGACAGTCTGGGCATTTCACTGGACCCTCCCTCCAGGCCCAAAGAGCTTCCTCCCATCTGACTTGGGGACAGTGGCACAATTCACCTCTTCCAAGCCCAGGACCACCAAGGAGAGCAGGACAGGATGACCTCAACCCCAGGACAGGGGAGGCCTGATCATGTCCCTCTTGGGGCCGCATGGAACTGTTCCCTACCCCACGTGGAGTGGGTGTCATTAAGAACCCTCAGGGCCAGGGAGAGGGGCCCAGGCACACTCACTCGGCCAAGTCGGGCCAGCTAGTTCCAGAAGCTGTGAGTTGGCACTTAACGGTCAGGGGGCCTAAGGCAGCTTCCTCTTGGGTAACAGGCAGCTGGGAAGGTTCAGCACTCCCCGCTAGGCTTAGGACAGGAGGGGCAGGGCCAGGCATGGTGACACACACATGTCATCCCAGCACTCAGGAAGCTGAGGCAGGAGGACTGCCTGGCTACATAATTCAAAGCCAGCCTGGATTACACAGGGAGACTCAATCTCACGAATCAAAACAGGGAGGAGCTGAGGTGCTAGGCCCAGAGAAGCACAGCTGGCTTAAGGAAGGACCCTCTGTCCTGTCTACCCTGGGACAACGGCTCAGCCTGTTCGAGGTATGGCCATGTTGGGACAACAGGGTCCCTCTGTGCAGACCAAGAGAGGTGGCCTTGGGCTGGGGATTTAGCTCAGTGGTTTCACTGCCTGCTGCGAAAGTGCAAGGACCCGAGTTCCATCCATGGTATCAAAAAACAAAAAAGAGAGGTGGCCTGCAGCAGATGCCTAGACCCAGGCCAGCCCTCTCACCCCGTCCTCCCGTGTCCCCTCCTTCAGACACATCTGCGCCTGTCTGGTCGCCGTGTCAGGACAGCCAGGCTGTGCGCTCCAGGCTCCAGGGGGCTTGACCCCTGTTCCTGCTGAACTGAGCCAGTCTGCACAAATCAACTGTGTTTCAGCTCAGTAGGCACGGGAGGCAGAGCCCGGGGAACTGGGCAACCAGCAGAAAGGTGGGGCGGTGGAGGCGGGGCCCAGGGGACGGAACTTAGCCACTGTGAACACGACTTGGTGCGGACTCTGCTCACAAGCAGCTAAGCCCTGCTCCTCAGGCCTGGCGACGGCTACAGCAGTGGTGGTGGCGGTGGCAGGGCCTCTCCGACACCCCGTCCCCAGGCATGGACAGGCATCCTCAGTGGCAGTGGTGGGCCCGGAGGCAGAGCTCAGGGTCGGTTGGAAATCCCTGGCAATGTGATTTGTGAGACAGCAAATCCCATCCCCAGGAACCCCAGCCGGCCATGGCAAAGGGTGGGAGGCACTGGGCGGGGCCAGAGGCTGGCACCTGAAGGGAAGAGAGAGCAAAGGAGGTGATATGATTTGGGGACACTGCCCTCTCTGGGTCCTCCCTGAATTCCTGGCCCCTGGCAGCAACCTCAGTCCCAGCCCAAGGTGTCGACAGATGCCCAGAGCCCTTCTAGGCCAGGCGGCTGCAGGAGCTCCAGGGCAGCTCCAGCCCTTTCCCCACTCCCCCAGCCTCCCACCCCATGCCCGGGCGACCAAATGGGGCCACACGAGGAGAGAGGAAGCTGAGGGGGGCGGGCAGGTGGGTGAGGAAGTGACCTCACCCCATCTGGCGCCACTTCCTAGAAGCCTGAAGGGCAGAAGGAAACCACCCGGCCTCCCCCTGTGGCCGTCTCCTCAGCCACCAGGCAGGCCCCTGCCCACACCCCCGGGGCGGGGCTACAGGCACCGAGCCCCACATTGGCCTCAGGCATGCATCCACTTCCCCTCCACACAGGACCCAGGCTGCCAGTAGCTGGCCTCCTTACCCAAACACCAGACCAGAGTTCAAGTCCCAAATGCAGTTTCCCAGATGCCCTAGAAGCCTCAGTTTCCCCATCTGTGAAACAGAGCCAAAAGCTGCTACTGAGTAACCCAGTGAGCTTTCACCATGATGTCTGTCACTCACTCAGTCAGCTAGGTATGGGGGCCACTAAATTTGTGAGGCCCAGTACAGAACAAAGATGAGCAAAATTAAGAGTTTCTTTTTCATTTTTCTTTTGTGAAACAGGGTCTCGCTGTGTAGTCCAGGCTTTGAACTCACAAAGTTTCCCAGGCTGGCCTTGAACTCTGCAGTGATCCTCCTGCCTCAGCCTCCCGAGTACTAGGATCATAGGTGTGTGCCACCACTCCTGGCTATAAATAAAGAATTTCACAGGGCTGGGGTGCAGCCCAGCACTAAAGCACGTGCTTAGCATGTTCGAGGCCCTGGGTTCCATCCTCAGCACCACCACCACCAAAAAGTAAAAAGAGGACTTCACAACATTTGGAGCAAAACATTAAACCACGATCAGGTCTTTCCAAGGACAAGTCTGCCAGGGCCGCACTCGCCATGATCCGTGGCTAGAAGAGCCAAACTTAAGAGTCAGTCAGCCAAATTTGAAACCCACCCCCAGGTTCCTAGCTGGGCAGCTCTGGGCAAGTCACTCAAACTCTCTGAGCCTCAGTGCCCCTGAAAAACAGTTACCAAATAGATACCAGTTATCTACATGGAAAGTGGCTGGCAGTGAGGATCCTATGAGTAACGTGTGTCGTCAGGACAGTGCGATACTTTCACTGCCACCCAGCACAAAGAGGCCAGAAGATGGAAACAAGGATCCCACACAGGCAGGACCTTCATGTCCAGATCTGGGGCCAGCCCCAAGGGAAGCGGGCAGCGAGAGATGTCCTGTGCTCCATCCACCCCACAAACATGCACGCAGGCCCATCTTCCCCAGGGGTCCCTGGTCCTGTCCCCTCAGGGTCTGGGGGTGCCAACTGGGAGCAGCCTGGCCCCGCAGGGCAGCCAACCTCCCCGAGCCGCCTCCGGAAGTGAGACAGCATATTCGTGTCCCGGGACGAGAACGGGAAGGGCGGCCATTTGGCCAGGCCTGTTTCCTGTGGGGTTTCCCCTGCACAGAGCCCAGAGCTGGGCCAAGGCCACTCCCCATCCCCACAGGCACAAAAGGTCTGGTCCCGCGTGGAGAGCCCACAGCCACACAGGTGCCCCAGCACTGGGCCCCCTTTACCAATCCCGGGCTCCCCCTCGGGTCCCAAGAGAGCCAAGCTCATGGCATCTGCAGGGATGGAGGACAGGGGCCCTGTGCCGGGCCTCGGAGTGGTCTCCAGGCTGGATGGGGACACCAGTGTGCACCAGAACGCAGACAGAGGCTACGCACCAGACACACACAGGGCCCCGTGCCCCAGGAATGCATCAGGGACGGCTTCCGCCGGGACTCCACCGCCGCTGCCGCCTCCAAGCCTGATCCCCAAATACTTTCCACCCTCACAGAGCAGCTGGGATCGGAAAATACCAAGGACTGCTGGCCCCGCCCTGCCCGCCGCCGCCCAGCCTGTCACTAGCGCTTTGCCTAATGGGCCAGACTCTTAACAGAAGCTCGGTGGGCCGGGCCCCGAGCCAGCCGCCAACCGGGGCTTCCCAGCCCAGCGCCGCCTGACCGCCAGTCCCCCTACCCTCCACCCCAGTTACCCCGGCAGGAACAATAAGGTCTGTCCCCACGAGGTTGGGCAGTCCCGAGGGTTGGCACCCTTGCAAGTGGGAGTCCCATGGCCCACCCAGGGCTGGCCCTGGGGGCAGGCTCAGGATGGGTAAGAGCACACTGAATCATCTGTTATAAATAGGGAGATCAAAGGCATGGCCTGGCCAATCACAGAGCCTGGAGGGGCACCCCCATATCCACCCAGGAAGCCCTTCCCTGAGGGGTACACCCCACCATTGTGTACCCACCTCTACCTGCCACTGAAGTCTATTTCTAAACCCTAGCCTGGAGTTTGGGGGCTACAAGCCTAGAAGAGAGTAAATGGCTTCTTCTTTTTTTTTTTTTTTTAGAGACTAGGGTTTGAACCAGGGGCCTTCACATTGTGCTCCATCCCCAGGCCTTTATTTTTTATTTTGAGGCAAGGTCTCGCTAAGTTGCCCAGGCTGAGCTCAAACTTGTGATCCTCCTGCCTCAGCCTCCCAGAGTGCTGGGATGACAGGTGAGCACCACCATGTCCAGCTGTATCTGCTTTCTAATGGGCTCTGTCCTCTTTTCATGACACCCCAAAATTCCCCAAACGCGTGGCTCGATGTCCCTGGACTCCCCACGGCATTATGGAGGTTATCTGCCCATAGTTGTGGATGGCAAGAATTAGCATCTCAGAAGCTGCTTTGCTGCCCCTCACCACCCTGCCACATCCCAGACCACCCAGCCGCGGGCCACAGCACAGTGACCACACCCAGGGTGGCGCCAGCCCCAGCACCCTGGGGCAAGGCGCCACTGGAGTATGACTCAGCTGTGCCCAGCATGGCGCATCCTGCTCTACCCAAGAATTCCCACACGCCCACACCCGAAACCCTTGCATACGTCTCCAGGTGAGCGGCCCAGGACCCCAGACAGCAGGGGAGAAAGGGACCAGAGCGCCCCAAAAAGTCTGGAGTCCAGGGCCTGGGCGGGAGAAGCGCAGGGCACGCTGCTCTCCTCTCACATGGGAACTCTCCCCAGTTCTAGATGCATAAGGCAGAGGACAGGGCGATCCCCAGCCGGAGTGAGGTCCCACAGTGAGTCTCACACACAACCAGCCTGTACCTGGCCTAAGGAATACCCAAAGTGGAGCCAGGTGTGGTGGCACGCACCTGTAATCTCAGCAACTCTGGAGACTGAGGCAGGAGAATCGCCATGAGTTCAAGACCAGCCTGGGCTATACAGTTGAGTTCTAGGCCAGCATGGGCTACATGTGAAACCTGTCTCACCTCCACCTCCAAAAAATAAAATAAAAATAACAAAGTCCTGAAAAAAGCGTTGGAGGAAGGTTTTCTAAGACCACCCAAGGTTCCCAGCAGCATCATTCACTGTGGACAGAGCCCCACCCAAGGTGCAGGGCAGATTTCAAAAAGCTCCTGAAGATGGATAAGCCCCACATGGACCTCGGGAGCAGTCAGGTTACCCCAGGGTTTGCACTGGCACTGTCACCCCAGGAATGCATATACACAGCACCTGCCCCAAAGCTGCAGCCCACACACAATATCTGAACATCTGGGCCCCACTTGCGATCAGGCAGGGTGTGGCATGTTTGTGGGGTCCGTGGGAGAACCCCTGAACATCCATCTTTGCTCTCTCCCCTGCAAGCAGGAATTGGAGACACAGAGGCTGGGCCAGCACAGACAGGCCCGACCCCTGGACACGCCCTGTCACGCATGGACTCTGCGTGCCAGCCCGGGGCCCAGCCAGCAGATATTTTAGGGCCCCTCCAGGACCGTGGGCAAGATCTGCTACTAGCTGGGGTCTTGAGGGAGCTCCCAGAGGGAACCCTGCAAGCGCAGGACAAGCTGGCATCAGACCCAGGGCCCGTGCCTTCCCAGGACGGCCGTGCAGGAACACATGTGCCCATGCTGGCCCAGCAGGGCATGTGGGCGAGCGGACAGGGCGTGTCCCACATCACCTCGCCTCTGAGCCAGGCACCTGTTGGGCACTGCCTTCCAGCTTGGGCTGGCCCAGACAAGACTGCCAAGGACATGAGACCACCCTGTCACCGGCGGGCAGCTGGTGGGGGCTGGGAAGGGGACAGGAGACAGCCAGCCAAGGGCACCTCCCAGGCATTCAGGAGGCCCTGGGCCTGGGCCCCAACCGAGCTGGGCAGGAAGGTCAGGGATGGGGCTTGGGACATCCAAGCAAAGCTGGAACCAGAAGTCTCTCTGGGGCAGGCACAGAGAAGCTGGGGTTCAGCCAGGTCATTTTACCCACCTCCTGTAGTGCAAGGGCATGGGGTCCCCAGAGCTGACAGGGCTAGAGAGTCAGCCCTCCAGGAGACCCCCAAACCTGGCCCCTTCCTACCAACATTGCATGAGCTGCTCCTAGAGGGAGCCAGGCGCATCCAGGAGGCAGAGACACCCTGAACCCCAGCTGCACCAGGGCCCACCAGATCGCCCCCACCCACAGGAAACCGTCTCCCTCCACTCACCCCAACTTGTCAAGAACTTGCAAGTGACACCACTTCCCTCTCATCCAGAGAACTCCGGGAGTCCCTTCCCCGTGCTTCTAGCCCAAAGCCAGATAGGGGCCCAGTGGGACCCCTGTGCATAGCTAGCCAAACTCCAAGGCAGGCAGGGACCCTCTCTCTTTGCGCTTCCCAGCAAGTCCCAATAGGTCTCCTGGGGCGGGCCTGAGGGGATGGTTCAGAGCCAGGCCGCCCTTCCCTCATCCGCAGGTAGCGCCCCAGGACTCTGTCGCTACCACCCCAGAAGCCCCTTCCCGGCTTTCCCCCAACTCCCCGCCGCGCCGCCCTCGTTGCCAAGAGTTGGGGACCCCTCCAGGCGCGTCCCCACTCCGCCCGCGAGTCCAGCGCGGAAAAGTTGCCGCTGCCGCTGCGCGCAGACCCCCGGGTCCCCCGGCCCCCTCTCAGGTCCGCGCTCGACTTACCAAGGGGGAAGGGAGCAGGCCGGCTCCCGAAACGCACGCGGCGCTCACCCCACTTGCTGCGGGCCGCAGGGCCCGGGCTTTAAAACCTCGCGGCGCCGGGGGCGGGGCGGGGGGGGCGGGGAGGGGCGTCACCGCGCGCGCGCGCGCGCACACACACACACACACACACACACACACGCACATACACACACACACAGCCCGTTCCCCAGCTCGGCCTGCTCGCCGGTTTAGGCCCAACTTCTCCCTCCTTGTCCGGATCCGTGATCCGCAATCCGCGTGGGTCTGTGTCCCGGGATCCTCCGCCCACGCCACGCCAGCTTAGGAAGTCCCTCCTCTTATCCCGCCCAGCCTTCGCCTGCTGTCCCGGAGACTTTGCCTCCCTGCCCGGGATACCTAGGCCCGGGTGCTCTGCCCTCTCCAGGCTTCCTGCCATCCACCTACCCAGGAGCTCTAGGAAAATCCCAGCACCCTGTACCCCTGGGGAGCGCAGTCCTTCCTTCCTTCCCTGTGCGCCTGCCTCTGCCTCATTCTCCGGCCTCCCCTCCACGAGGAACACGGAGCCATTGTTCCCAGGACGAGGCCCTGCCTCGGGGCCTGGCCCTGTGCCCAGGTGGGGGGCCGGGAACAGGACTCCATACAGCAGCGGCAGGCAGGCGGGGTGCCCCCTGCGCCCAGCAGCTCCTTGGGCCCGAGCGGCTGCCACTCTGTCCTCCTAAGACACGAAGGCGGGTACACCCCCGGCCACCAACCTGGCCGCGCATCGTACCACGGGGAATCGGCAGGGCCCTATCCAGAGCTAGGTGGGCACTGAGGTGGGGAGAGTTCCCACCCCCCACCCCCCGCATTTCCCGAACGCCGGCCTGGGCACCCACCTCGAGCAACCAGGGTCCCCGCCCTTCCCAAGGATGCTGGGGAGGGGGTGGCTCGGCAGCAAGCCCGGGCAGGGACCTGGACTGGAGGGACAGGTTGGACACCTCTGTGTCACCTCACTTCTCAGAATTCCTCCAGGGTCCCCCTTTTGTCTCTCCCATGTGGGGTCTTCCTGCAAAAGCCACCCCCACCTGCCATTGTGGGGCCTAGGCCTGGGGGCTCCCCAGCTTTCTTCCCCGGGGCCCGAGGTGGAGGCTGGCCGGGGCTGCAGGATTCGGCAGGTTGGGGCAGAGCCTTCCGCCCATGGGGCCCCTGGGAAGAGGATTTGGGGTGGCACAGAATTCCCCAGCTCTGGGCAGGGCCGGAAGGTGGGAAGTTGGCCTCCTGAGGATGGAGTTTCTGGGGTGAGTCTGGGATTCTCCTGAGGACCCACACAGGAATACAGCAAAAATAAACATTGGTCACCCAGAAGTGGAAGGTGACTCTGTGTGTGTGTGTGTGTGTGAGAGAGAGAGAGAGAGAGAGGGAGACATGGTCTCCTTGTGTAGCCCAGGCTGGCCTCGAACTTGAGGCAGTCCTCTCCTTCAGCCTTCTGCATGCTGGGATGACAGGCATGCACCACTGTGCCTGGCTGAAAGTGATCAAGTTATAATGACATATGTCCTGCATGAGTCTCTCCCCTCAGGTGCCCTACCCTGGCCCTCTGGAACCCTCCCCCAGCACCAGCTTGTGGGGACTCCCAGAGCCCCCAGCCCTTTGGATCCCCTCACATTTGCCCTCACATTTGCCCCCACAAGGCCCCAGCTGCAGCTCCCCGGGGACCACAGCCACCCAGCTCAGAGCTTGCCAAAGTGGCCTATTGATTTTTGTGTCCTATCAGGGAAAGGGGGAGGAGCCAGGGCCAGGGTAAGTCCAGGTCAAGTGGCCAAGTGGCACAGGGCACACATAGGCACGTGCACACCTATTTGTTGATTCTACTGATGTCCACTGAGTACCTGCTGTGTGCTATGTGCGGTTCTGGGCACTTGGAACACACAGGGGACAAGAAAGAAACTCCTGGGGTGAACATCTGCGGGGGGGGGGGATGCACATGGTCAGCAGTTACATGAGTATAAAATATATAGTGTGTTGGAAGCTAAAGGCTGGGGAAATGGGGGGATGGGAGAGCTAGGGTTGGGGTTAGGTGGAACAAATGCAGGCAAGGGAGGAACAGGTATCCAGGAGGTATCCAGAACAGCCAGTGCAAAGGCCCTGGGGCACATGTGTACACTATTTGAGATACAGTGCAAAGCCCAGTTTGATGAGGGTCAGGAGATGGGTGTGGAGTGGAGGAAAACTGAAGTTTCCACTCTTGCTCCCCAACTCTCAGGCTGGATGTCTCTGGCCAAGTGCTCCCACCTCTGTGAGCATCAGTTTCTTTATCTGTAACATAGCTCTGTTGGCCATGGTTGCAAGTCTCCAAAATGCACTTCAGAGGCAGATCAGGCACACACGCCAGCCAGACCAGGTGTGTGGGGGACCAGGTAAGGGATCCTGCCAAGGCGGCGGCCCCACAGGGCACCCTGGCTCACACGCAGGGCGCCTGCCTGGCCCCATGGCAACGCTGCACACAGAGACATCAAACAGGCCTGCCGAGGAAGTCCCACGTCACTGTGGTCAGGGTGGCCCCGCCCCACCCATCCCCGGCTGGCTGGCGGCTGGCGGCTGGCGCTGTCCTAGGCAGGGCCCCCTGCCTCCCGTCACCCTGGCAACTGGCTGTGTTGTGGGCTGTACAGGATCCCTGAGTCCCTACCCCCTCGCCAGGCACTGCCACTGCCCACATCCGGGGAAGGACATGATGGTGGCCATCCAGCTGCCACAAACCAGTGTCCAGAGCCATGGCCAAGACTTTGCCTCCTACCTAGGGTTCAGAGGGCTGGAAGGGACCGGGGCTCTGGGGGGAACCCCAGCCAGGCACCTCACATCCCAAAGACCGGACCCAGGGTCACTAGGGGCACAGGAACAGCGCCCCCCCCCCCCAGCCTGGCCCAGCCCCCACCCTGGGCCTGACTCAGCCAGCACAGATGACATCAAGGCCTGGCCGGCCACCCTAACCTGGCACCTCTCCAGAGCTGGGACAGGGGCCGTCCCAAAAGTGTCCCAGGGGCCTGCCCTCTGCGGCCTGGGCCTGGCATGTGGAGGGTTAAGGAGAACCCCTTCTGGGGGTCTCCCCTCTTCATCCTATCCCCCCCCCTTTTGCCGGGAATTTCGGGCCCCAGCCCCTCTGACGTCACTGGGGGTTGCTGTGGAAACCGGTCGAAGTTCCCAAATAAAATTAACGCGGGCGGCTTAAGTTTCCTAGGACTCAGCCGCCGGGTAAACAATGGCGGTGCAGGTGGGGCAGCCGGGCTGTCTTCGTCCTTCACCCCAACTTTGCGAGGACCCGGGGGGTCCCCCAGGCTCGCCCTTTCCGGCCTAATACCCGAGAACCCTGAAGCCCCGAGGGAGCGGGGACACAGATAGGGACAGCGAGGCCACCCTGAGCTGGGAGGTGGGCAAGGTGTCCTTGGAGGGAGCAGAGGGGGACCCCAGAGCCCAGCTCGCTCGCCCCGCCCCGCCCCGCCCCCGGCCCAGCTGCGGCGCCTCCCAGCTGCCGGACTCCCACATCTGGCGGCCTCGCACTTCCTGTCGCCTGGCGGCCTGGAGCGGGGTAAAAATAACCCGCTCCCCCCCCCCCATACCCGCTGCCGTAGACGCGGAGCCTCGGCCAGGCAGGGCCAGGAGAAGGGGAGGCGTGAGCTCAAGCCATGGTATAGGGAGAGCTCACTAGGAGCACGGGAGGCGACACCATAGGGTCCCAGCTGCACCCCCGGGAAGAGGAGCTGCAGCTCGGACTGCTGGCAGGCCAGGTTCCAATGCACAGTCACGCACTTAACATTTAGACAAGTTCCCCAAAAGCCTCCTCAGTTTATCTATCTGTAAAATGGAAAATGATAAGTAGTACCCACTTCAAAGCACATCTGCTCAGTCTGGGGTCTCACCTCAGTGGTGAGTACTTGCTTAGCTCATGCAAGGCCCTGGACTCCATCCCCAGCACTACCAAAAACAAAGGAAAAATGTACTTGCTCCATTTTTATCCTTTTCCATCCCAGGGAACCCCTGAGAATCCCTCCAAGTGCAGCTACCACATTAAATACAGAACCAAGTTGGGCATGGTAGTGCATGCCTTTAATCCTAGCACTCAGGAGGCTGAGGCAGGAGGATTGCCTCAAGTTTGAATCCAGCCTAGGCTACATAGTGAGATCCTGTCTCAAAAAACCCAAAAACAAACAAAAAAACAGAACAAGTTCCATTTTACTTCAGATACACAACAGATCTTTTTAAAAGTATAAATGAGTCTCATGCAATATCTGGAACATAATGATAATTTTAAAATTCTCTTACTAAAAAAGTTTACTTGTTCTGCATCTCAAATTTAAATGTATCTGGATGGCCTTTTTTTTGTTGTGGTTAAATCTGCCAACCATATCCCCATTCCCCCATCCTCTGGCCTGAATACACTCCACCAGCCACACTGCCAGGATCACACCTTGGCCCTTCTGCCCATCCGTAGTCTCTGAAGGGGGTATCCTCCCACCTGCTTCTGCTTCTTTATGCTCACTTTTGCCTTGCAAACTCCTGACTGTCCTTCCAGAATCCTTTTTATTTTTTTCAGATTTTTTCTGGTAACAGGATTCATGCTCAGTCCTTTTTAAAATTTTATTTTTACATATATATGTGTGCCCAGATAGAGTGTCCCTAAGTCACTAAGTTTCCCAGGCTGGGATCCTGAACTTGAGATCCTCCTGCCTCAGCCTCCCAAAATGCTGAGATTACAAGTGTGGGTCACTACAATCGGACTCAGCATTCTCCAAGAATCCTTTCACACCTCCCCACTGTGCCCTCTGCGTTTTACTCTTCAGGAACCCAGGACACCTCTTACCTCCTGCATTTGAGGCATTGATTTCATAATTTGAGTAAATTGAACTTTTGGGGGATGTTGCTGTGGATGGAACCTCAGTCTTCCAGCAGGCTACATAGGCACTGTATCAGTGAGCGGCACCTGAGCACCTGAACATTTGATTTCTTTTCTTCTTCTTTT